TTTTTTTTTTTTTTTTTTTTTTTTTTGAGACGGAGTCTTGCTCTGTAGCCCGGGCTGGACTGCAGTGGCCGGATCTCAGCTCACTGCAAGCTCCGCCTCCCGGGTTTACGCCATTCTCCTGCCTCAGCCTCCCGAGTAGCTGGGACTACAGGCGCCCGCCACCTCGCCCGGCTAGTTTTTTGTATTTTTAGTAGAGACGGGGTTTCACCGTGTTAGCCAGGATGGTCTCGATCTCCTGACCTCGTGATCCGCCCGTCTCGGCCTCCCAAAGTGCTGGGATTACAGGCTTGAGCCACCGCGCCCGGCCCACACTTTTTTTTTTCTTTTTTTTTTTTGAGACAGAGTTTCACTCTTGTCACCCAGGCTGGAGTGCAATGGTACAGTCACAGCTTACTGAAGCCTCAACCTCCTGGGCTCAAGCGATCCTCCCGCCTCAGCCTCCTTAGTAGCTGGGACTACAGGGATGTGCTGCTACACCTGGCTAATTTTTGCATTTTTAGTAGGCACGGGGTTTTACCATTTTGCCCAGACTGGCTTTGAACTCCTGACCTCAAGTGATCTTCCCTTCTTGGCCTCCCAAAGTGCTGGGATTACAGGGGTGAGCCACTGCACCTGACCTGCCTCCTGCTTTTTGTACTCCCTTACTAGGTCCTTCCAGTCCAGAGTTCACACAGCGTAGCCCAGCTCTGGAATCAGAAGAACTGGATTCAAACCCATTAGCAGTGTGCGGAGGTGAGCCACCAGCTCTGTGAGCCTCAGCTTTACCATCTGCTTAGAAGTAAAGCACCCATGGGCCGGGTGCGGTGGCTCACGCCTGTAATCCCAACACTTTGGGAGGCTGAGGCAGGTGGATCACTTGAGGTCAGGAGTTCAAGACCAGCCTGGCCAACATGGTGAAACCCTGTTTCTACTTAAAATAACAAAAATTAGCTGGGTGTGGTGGCGCATGTCTGTAAATTCAGCTACTCAGGAGGCTGAGGCAAGAGAATCGTTTGAACCTGGAAGGCAGAAGTTGCAGTGAGCCGAGATCACAACAGTGAGCCGAGATTGCGGCACTGCACTCCAGCCTAGGTGACAGAGCAAGACTCCATCTTAACAAAAAAAAAAAAAAAAAAAAAGGAAGGAAGGAAAGAACCCATCTCATGTGGCTGCTGTGTGGAGTTGGTGGGATCCTGGATGCTCAGTTGTTGTCATCTATAAAGCCCGGGTCTGCGGGCAGGGCCGGAGGGTGGGGGCCAGCAGCACACCTGCCCCCAGGAGTGAATGGTAGCACAGGGCTCCGGGACACACCAAGGTGACATGCCGATCTCTGCATCCCAGCCCTCCACAATGCGCCCGTCGATGTAGGATTCCAGGAGTTCTCCTTCAGTTTTGTCCTCCAGCGACTTCTTCTCAAACAGAGGTCGCAGCCCACAGTCTGCAGAGCAAGCCAAGCGGTGAGGGGCAAGTGCTGGCCACCAGCCCCACAGCCCCGTGTCCCTAGATGCCCACTACCTCACCTGCTTCTCCCAAGCCGAAGGTCCTCGGATCGAAGAAAGTCTGGTACTCACTGGTGGCGGTACGCCCTTCGATGGCCCTGTCTGGGTCCTCACCCAGCCCATCTCCTGTCTCCTCATCCACAGCCTCCTCTGTTGGGACCCGGGCACCGGCTGGGACTTGGCTGGGCCATTCCTCACACATCGCCTAGATCCCCCCAATTCCCCTATGGGCCTTGGAGGCCGTTTGGTGCAGAGGTTAAGAGTGCATGCACAGTTGGGCTACTAGGCAATAACCTCCTGGGGCCTCAATGTACTTATCTGTGAAATGGGCACAGGACCTTACCCCTACCTGGTTACTGTAAGGCTGTAATGAGCACACTCAATGCGGTAAGTGTTCGGTAAGCAGAAGCAACTGTTGTTATTCCCACCAGGATTTGTCCCTGCATCTCAGGCCCCTACCCAGGCAGCTCACCACAATAGTTGAGGTCACAGTACTCAAAGTCACCAGGCTTCCCGGCCACATAGCACCACACGCCCTCCTCATCCCCGTCTGGGTTGCGGCAGAAGTTCTCCACCAGCTGCACGGCCGAGTCGAAGTCCTGGTGCTTGCTCAAGGCCTTGGCCTGCGCACTGGCCCAGGCTAGGCAGGGGAGCCCATGTGTGGTCACTGCCAGGCGCCCCTGGTACTGCCGCCCCCGATCAGGGACACACTCCTCCGATGGAGGTGACAGAGTCACACTGGAGCCTCTGGAGCGTGGAGTCATCGCTACAGTGACTTGATCCTGGCCTGGTGGGTGAGGGGTAAGGAGGCAACAGAGTGAGTGAGACCACACATGGACCGGAACAGACAGGGATGTGAACCCCAGTCTTGCTGCTTTCTGCCTGTGTGACCTCAGGTTACTTAACCTCTCTGGGCTTCTGTCTGTCTGCCTTTAAAGGGGTTACTAATGCCACTCTTGCAGGCTTGTTGAGAGGATTAAACAAAATATACAGCGTAAGTGTCTGGCACATAATAAACCAGAGATAATAACCGGGTTTGGCCTGCTGGGCTATCTGTAATCAACTGGTAGTTGCTGCCTGGGGCTGCTGGAGGAGTCTGTTTTTATGGCGGCACAGCAGGAAGCTTGCTGGGATCACTAAGCTGTTCACCTGGATAGGTCAGTTTCTGCAAGCCTGCAACTTATTTATCATCAGTGTGTGCGCACGTGTATAGGGGCTGGGAGGTAAATGGTAGCTGTTTTTGTTAGGATAAACTTGCTACAAGACCAATCCCAGGGGCCAGCCGCAGTGGCTTACACCTGTAATCCCAGAATTTTGGGAGGCTGAGCAGGGCAGATCACCTGAGATCAGGAGTTTGAGATCAGCCTGGCCAATGTGGAGAAACCCGTCTCTACTAAAAATACAAAAATTAACCAGGTGTGGTGGCATATGCCTGCAGTCCCAGCTATATGGGAGACTGAGGCAGGAGAATCGCCTGAACCCAGGAGGTGGAGGTTGCAGTGAGCCAAGATTGTGCCACTGTACTCCAGCCTGGGTAACAGAGTGAGACTCCGTCTCAAAAAAAAAAAAGGCTGGGCACAGTGGCTCACCCCTGTAATCCCAGCACTTTGGGAGGCCAAAGTGCGAGGATCACGAGGTCAGAAGTTTGAGATCAGCCTGGCCAACATGGTGAAACCCCATCTCTACTACATACAAAAAAATTAGCCAGGCGTGGTGGCGCACACCTGTAATCCTAGCTACTCAGGAGGCTGAGGCAGGAGAATTGCTTGAACCTGGGAGGTGGAGGTTGCAGTGAACTGAGATCACGCCACTGCACTCCAGCAGCCTGGGCGAGGGAGTGAGACTCTGTCTCAGAAAGAAAAAAAAAGACCATCCCCAGGAATGAGCAATGGACCCGACAGGGATGCCTAGAGAACAAAGAATACCAACCCATGTTTGTGGGACTGATAACTGGCACAAATTCTTTACCCCTGGCTGCATCCATATCCTTTGCTCTGTGATTTTACAGGCAGACGTGTAGTTCACCTCTTGACCCTAGCCTTGAACATATACTTGCTCTGGCCAATGGAATGTGGGCAGGGCTGACTGTGCCTGTTCTGAGCCTAGGCCTTCAGGACACAAGATGCTTTTCTGTTCATTGTTTTCTGTGTCTGTCATCAGCATAAGAAGAGTTTTCCCAGGTACTGCTGTCTTTCAGCCTCAGCCCCAGCATGAACGCACGTGGAGCAGATCTAGGCCCAACACTCAACGAGGAACCAGGCTCAGCTGGACCCATTATTTGAATCAGAGCCACCCAGCCAGGGCCAGGCCAACACTGTCAGTTGACCCTACAGACATCATCAGCGAGTGCAGCTGAGATCAGCGGCGCCACGCCCGCCAACCCTCACGGGAAAAAGAAATGCTTACTGTGGTCTGCCTTGGGGAAGGGTAGCTATAGCTACTTAACACACCAGGGAAAATAATGACAGAATCCTGCAGGGCCAAACTGCACAAGGCTTGCTCTGTGATACTCAGAACAGGGCGTGTGGACAGAAATGGCTAGGGAGGGCTTCCCGGAGGAAGGAGTGCCTTGATCAGAAAGGAGGCATGTTTGGAATGAGCCACAGCCTGGACCATAAGGAAGTCAAGAGTGGGAAGCAGGAGGAGGAGGCTGGCAGATCCCCCCACTCAGATCCCGATTCCCTGACTTCACTGAGCAACTGGCACAGATATGATCTGAATGACTGATGCCAGCTCTGAAGGTGGCCAGCATCTTTTATTTTTTATTTATTTTTATTTTTTTGAAACAGAGTTTTGCTCTTGTCACCAAGGCTGAAGTGCAATGGCACGATCTCAGCTCACTACAACCTCTGCCTCCCGGGTTCAAGCGATTCTGCTGCCTCAGCCTCCTGAGTAGCTGGGATTACAGGCACCCGCCACAATGCCTGGCTAATTTTTGTATTTTTAGTAGAGATGGGGTTTTGCCATGTTGGCCAGGCTGATCTCAAACCCCTGATCTCAGGTGATCCACTTGCTTCAGCCTCCCAAAGTGCCGGGATTACAGGCATGAGCCACTGCACCCGCCAGCATTCTTGGTTCCCATCCCAGGCTGCCAGGCCCCATGAAGCCCCCAGGCCTTGACCATGGGCCACCCCCTGCCCCCAGCTCACCACAGACAGGGATGCTGCATTCCTCCCTCCTCACGGTGGGGTCTGTAGTGTAGCACCAGGGTCCTGTGGTGCTGCCGTCAGGGTTGCGGCAGAAATTCTCCTGCAGGTCGGCCCCGGGATGGGTGGTGGAGTTGATTCTGGAACAGGAAATTGCCCAACAGGAGGCTGTTGCGCACGAGATATCCTTGCTCCCTGTTCTCAGCCCCTGGTGGAAAGGCCGGCCCCTCACTCACTCAGGCTTATGTGGGTAGCGACTCCTCCATAGCTGGCACTCAATGCCTGACCGGGTGATGTTCACATGCCCTCGGTAGTTCGTACCCAGACCCTCAGCACAGTTACCTGCGGAGACCCCACCCCAGTCAGCCTTGGAGCGTGGGGACTTATTTCCTCTCTCCCAGCAAAGTTCTGTCTATCCCCCACCCTCAAGCTCATGCAGGTCCACAATCCTTAACCTGCGTTCACCCAGCCCCTCCTCCTCTGCATCCAGCAGTTCTCCCATTCACTCAACAGTGGCCGCCAGATATTTGCTGAGTGCCCACCATGTGACAGGCACTGTCGTGTGCTCAGCACACATCAACCAATAGGACAGTCACAGCCCACAGCCCTGCCCTCATGGAGCTTCCATTCAGTGGCTTCTCTTGGCCAGCAGGATGAAAAAGTGACCAAGGCCTTTTCATCTGGCCCTGGTCTACCTGTCCCTGCTAGCTTGGCTCCTTGTGCCTCTGGGTCTTTCCACGGGCTGTTTCTTCTGCCTGGAATGCCCGCTTGTTCATCCATGCATCCCACCAGGCCAGGCAGAACTCTGCCTCTCCTGGGAAGTCATCTCTTGTTCTTCTGGCAAACCAGACACTCATTTTCCTCTGTTCTCTTGGTGGCTTGAATGGAACTTTTCTTGCAATCACTTTATTCAATTATTTATTTTTTGTTTTTATTTATTTATTTTGAGATGGGGTCCTGCTCTGTTGCCCAGGCTGGAGTGCAGTAGCACGATCTCAGCTCACTACAACCTCTACCTCCCAGATTCAAGCAATTCTCCCCCATCAGCCTCCCTGGTAGCTATGATTAAAGGCACGTGCCAACACGCCCCAGCTAATTTTTGTATTTTTAATAGAGGCGGGGGGTTTCACCATGTTGGCCAGGATGATCTCAAACCCCTGGCCTCAAGTGATCCGCCCACCTCAGCCTCTCAAAGTGCTAGGAATACAGGCTTGAGCCTACCCAGCTGCAATCACTTTAATATTTTGTATTTTTGTTCTCTTTTGAGATTGTGAATTCCTTGAAGGCAGAGACTGTATTTGATTCTCTTAAAATCCCCAGCACCTGATATAGTGCGGGGCACATATCAGGAACTTTGTAAAGTATCTGTTGAGTATGTAATTTAACAAATGAGGCCGGGCGCGGTGGCTCACGCCTATAATCCCAGCACTCTGGGAGGCCGAGGCTGGTAGATCACCTGAGGTCAGGAGTTTGTGACCAGCCTGACCAACATGGTGAAAACCCATCTCTACTAAAAAATACAAAAAATTAGCTGGACATGGTGGTATGTGCCTGTAATCCCAGCTACCCAGGAGGCGGAGGCAGGAGAATTGCTTGAATTCACTAGGCGGAGGTGGCAGTGAGCTGAGATTGCACTGCTGCACTCCAGCCTGGGCAACAGAGCAAGACTCCATCTCAAAAAAAAAAAGAAAAAGAAAAAGAAAGTACGGCAGCCAGGCGCGGTGGCTCACACTTGTAATCCTACTACTTTGGGAGGTTGAGATGGGAGAATTGCCTGAGCCCAGGAGTTCAAGACCAGCCTGGGCAAAAAAGGGAGCCCCTGTCTCTTACAAATAAACAAACAAATAAACAAATAAAAAGTTCCAAGTCACGGAGCCTTTTGTCGTGCTAAAGGTGCCTTCAGAACGCAGTGCAGGAGGGAGGGTGCTCCCTGAAGTCTCAGCAAAAGTGGCGACATTTGAAGCAGTCCTTGAAGGATAGGGAAGTATTCAGTAGGTGGTGATGGTTGCTCCAGAGGAAATCGACAACATATGCAAGGCCAGGTGCTAGAAACACCTTGGCGCGCTTAGGGAAGTCCTTGGTGTCAGAGCAGCCGGGGGTTTGGGTTCCTGTTTGGTGCAATGACACCTAAAGCTAGAAGGGGAATGTGACGTCATCAGAGCTCTGACTAGGTCGGGGCAGAGACTCGGATCAGGCAAAGGAGAATGAAGCCTTAAACATGAATTCATGGCCAGGTGCAGTGGCTCACGTCTATACTCCCAGCACTTTGGAAGGCCAAGGCAGGTGGATCACGAGGTCAGGAGTTCAAGACCAGCCTGGCCAACATGGTGAAACCCGGTCTCTACTAAAAATACAAAAATTAGCCAGACGTGGTGACGGGCACCTGTATTTCTAGCTACTTGGGAGGCTGAGGCAGAGAATTGCTTGAACCTGAAAGGTGGAGTCTGCAGTGAGCTGAGATCGTGCCACTGCACTCCAGCCTGGGCGACAGAGTAAGACTCTGTCTCAAAAAAATAAAAAATAATTAATCCATTCATTCATTCATTCGTTCCTCCAACTTGAATCATCTGACTGCATGCCAGACACAGAGCCAGGCACAAAGACACATCTTGACCCCAGGAATGGGAGCAATGTCGGACACTGGGGACTGCCTCAGCCTCCACTGGCCACACTCCAAACCCACCCCTGAGCTCTTCTCTCGGGCTCCCCTCCATGTCCTGACCCCCAACCCCGTGTCAGTTGCTCACCTTCCAGACATGCAGCAAGCGTATCTCGAGACGTCCTCGCCGTCTCACAAGCTGGAAAAGACCCAGGTGTTTACCCTTGGGATTGGGGTACGGCCAGGATGGGCTGGAGTCAAGGGTGGATGGGATGTTGGTGAGAAACAGAGAGATGGATGGACAGATGGGAGGGACGGAGGAAGGAGTGGGGAAGGGGTGGACAGGTGGATGGCTGGGTGCAGCAGAAGATTCTCCAGGCAGAATTCTCTCACTGGGGTCCCCAGGCCTTCCTTCCTGGGGCAGATCCTTCCCGGTGCTCACCTGTGTACTTGGCCCAGAAAGCATCCTGAAAAACAAGGGCTGGGAGTGAGGCTACGGCAGCTCCTGTTTTGTGTTTAGTAAACGTTATGTCTCCTCCTCACACTTTCCTTTACCCTGGTCACGCAGGGGGCAGGCTCTGGGGAGGTTTGTGGCAGAGTTTCCTACTTTTGTTTCCAAAAGGAGAAGAATATTTGAGGATAGGGGAGTTTCTCCAACACACACACCGAGACTGAACAAGACTGGGGGAGATGGGAGGAGAGGGGGCTGTGGGACCCTGGCAGAGCCCTATAGACAGGGAAGGTGACAGAGCTCCAGGAACACTGAGTCTTGAGTCCGGGGCTTGTGGTGGCCTCCCCAGAGTCCCACCCCTCAAGGGTGGTGCAGGAGGCTGCTGCTAAGGAGCCCATGTGGACACAGAGCCCCCAAGGCAGGCGGATATCTGAAGACTGTGGAGGCCTCCCCATGTCATGGAGCCACACAGGACCCCAGAACCTTGACAGAGTCCAGGCACAGGGACCCCCAGGAAAGGCTGAGGCCGCTCCTCTAGCCAGCCCCATGAGGAGGGGCTCAGAGTTGAAATGAGGCTGTGAGCGGCGAAGGGGCTGTGGCGTTCCTCTCTTGCTTCTCTGTGGAAGTGTCTAGAGTTGGGCCCGCTCTGAGGCCCTGGAGCCGTCCGAGCAGCCCAGGCTCACCGTGGCCGTGGAGGACTCCAGAGCCTCGAAGGCCTCCTCGTAGCTGCACGTCTCCTCCACACACTCTCGCTCCAGGTTGCCCTTGCGCAGCTCCTCCACGAAGCCACTGTTGGCTCGCCGGACCCGCTGGAGCAGCGACAGCGCTTGCTGAGGAGCCAGGAACACTTGCGGAGGAGCCAGGAACACTGCAGTGGGGGGGTCATGGGACAGCGGCCTCAGGAGCAGGTGGTCTTGGCCATTGCGGGGGCAGGAAGCAAGCCCGCCCTCCCCTGCTGGCTTCTGAGAGGGGCTGTCTGGGCTGGTGGAAGTGCCTGGAAGGCTGCTAAATGTGGCCCCCTGTGCCCTCCTACACTGCCCCTTGTCCCCAGCCTGCTCCCCATATTGGAAGAGAGAAGCAGCCCTTCTCTTTCCAGTCCTGAGCTCCTGACTTCTTCCCCAAGCTGGCTGCCTGGGGCTGAGACCTACCTAGGGGCCAGCTCTGTGTGCTCTGTCCGGCCAGGAGACCCCGGCCCATGGGCCCACAACCCAATCCTCCAGCCTGTTCCAGCCTGCAAGCACCCCCTTACCATGCTGGCTGTGCACAAGGCTACACAGGGCAGCCAGGGCCAGGCAGCCAGGCAGCTGCAGGCCTCGGACGTGCGCCATAGTGTGTCAGCTCCTGGGTCACTGAGGAATTGTCTGTCCTGACCCCTCTGGGTTAATGTTGAACTAACATGAAGAAATCAGCGGAGAGGGTGAGGTCAGAGGGTCAGGGCCATGGGGACGGGTGGGTAGATAGTCCTTCTGTCCACCCCTGCCATCTGGGAGGACAGGTCCTCCTGGGACCAGGGATGGATGGTCTAGGAGGAGTCACAAAAAAAGGTCACTGTCACCCCCATCTCCCACCCTCCCTCTCTGAGACTTAGCCCATTCTGGCCAGTGGGGCTACGAGATTTTCCTGGAGCTCCTTCCAATCCTAACATACAGTGGTGGTTGCCTTTCATCTCTGCGTGCAACAGTTTCCTCATCTGTACAATGGGAATAATACTTTGTTGTGAGGATTAAAGGAGATTAGGAATGGAAAGCCCATGGAATATCGTAAGTTCTTAATAATCAGATCTGCACATATAGGCCAATGTGGGGGTTTGTGTAATCACAATACACAGATATCAAAAATAGAGACAAAGATAAAAGGTGTGGCCTGATAGAAGTTGCCGCTCGCCTTGGGATGCACCAGGGATAGGAACAGCCAACATTTGCCCAAGCCTCTCAGCCACTGGAGGAGGGGCCCATTTCTCCTCCTTCCTGTCTGGGGTGCCTGGAGGTGTGTTTGTGTGTGGCAGCTGCCTGGGAGGAGGAGTCAGGTCCAGGGACTCTTGGGCCTTTGGTCTATCTTCTGTCACCTCCCAGGACCTGCACCTGTCCTGGAATAGGGGCTACTCCAAATCCCTGGGTCTCCACTGCATGGCCCTCCTTCTCCCTGGCTGCCTGCCCCAGGCCAGGCCTAGCGAGGCTTCTGGTCCTACCCTGCCTTCCACCCAGCCCTACTCCTGTCCCTCCCCCATTTCCTGTTTGTGGTACCCAAAGCAAATATTAGTCCTGGGTCTAAATAGGGCAGAGGGACAAAGAGCAGGAACATGGGGAGGCACAAGTTCTCGACTCGCCTCACCTGTCCTTTGGGCCCAGCTGTTTGGGGTCTAGACCAGGTCATGTGTGGGAACAGGGAGTTTTGGCAGAAAAACTGGGGACCAAGACTCCCACAAACACCTTAATTCCTGGGAGGCCCATTTCTTATATATTTTCATATATATATTTTTAGGCCAGGCACAGCGGCTCACACCTGTAATCCCAGCACTTTGGGAGGCCAACAAGGCAGGATCACTTGTGGCCAGGAGTTTGAGACCAGCCTGGGCAACATAGCAAGACCCTCATCTCTACCAAAAAAAAATTAAAAATTAGCTGGGAATGGTGGTGCATGCCTGAAGTCTAAGCTACTGAGGAGGCTGAGGCAGGAGGATCACTTGAGCCCAGGAGTTCCAGGCTGCAATGAGCTATGATTGTACCACTGCACTCTAGCCTGGGTAACAGAGTAAGACCCTGTTTCTTTTACTTTCTTTTTTTGTTTTTTTTTGAGATGGAGTCTGGCTCTGTCACCCAGGCTGGAGTGCAGTGGAACAATCTTGGCTCACTGCAATTTCCATCTCCCTTGTTCAAGTGATTCTCCTACCTCAGCCTCCCAAGTAGCTGGGATTACAGGCATGTGCCACCATACCTGGCTAATTTTTGTATTTTTAGTAGAGATGGGGTTTCACCACGTTGATCAGGATGGTCTCAAACTCCCGACCTCAGGTGATCTGCCCACCTACACCTTGGCCTCCCAAAGTGCTGGGATTACAGGCGTGAGCCACCATGCCTGGCCTCAATGAGACCCTGTTTCTAAAAAAATAAATTAAAATAAAACAAAATAGAATAAATAAAATTAAATTAAATACAAATATATATTTTGGGTTTTTATTGTTGTTGTTTTGTTTTGTTTTTTTAGAGACGGAGTCTCGCTCTGTCGCCCAGGCTGGAGTGCAATAGCAAGATCTCAGCTCACTGCAACCTCCACCTCCTGGGTTCAAGCGATTCTCCTGCCTCAGCCCCCCGAATAGCTGGGACTACAGGCACCTGCCATCATGCCCGGCTAATTTTTGTATTTTTGTGGAGACAGAGTTTCACCATGTTGCCCAGGCTGGTCTTGAACTCCTAACCTCAGGTGATCTGCCCACTTCAGACTCCCAAAGTGCTGGGATTACAGGTATGAGCCACTGCGACCTACCTGTTGGTTTTTTTGTTTTGTTTTGTTTTTTGTTTTTTTTTTTTTGAGATGGAATCTCTGTCACCCAGAAAGGAGTGCAGTGGCACGATCTCGGCTCACTGCAACCTCTGCCTCCTGAGTACAAGTGATTCTCCTGCCTCAGCCTTCCAAGTAGCTGGGATTATAAGCATGTACCACCCACGCCCAGCTAATTTTGTATTTTTAGTAGAGATGGGGTTTCACCATGTTGGTCAGGCTGGTCTCGAACTGCTGACCTCAGGTAATCCACCTGCCTCGGCCTCCCAAAGTGCTGGGATTACAAGCATGAGCCACTGCCCCTCCTCTTTGCAGACTTTTACTCACAGTTGCAGGCCTGCTGAGCATGACATTCTTATACCCAGAAATGGCTATCTTAGTCCGGGCTGCTATAAAATTACTGTAGGCCGGGTGCAGTGGCTCATGTCTCTACTTCCAATACTTTGGGAGGCCAAGGCGGGCCGATCACAAGGTCAGGAGTTCAGGACCAGCCTAGCCAACATGGTGAAAACCTGTCTCTACTAAAAACACATAAATTAGCTAGGCGTGGTGGCACGAGCCTGTAATCCCAGCTACTTGGGAGACTGGGACAAAACAATTGCTTGAACCAGGGAGGCAGAGGTTGCAGTGAGCCAAAAGTGTGCCAGTGCACTCCAGCCTAGGTGAAAGAGCAAGACTTCATCTCAAAAAAAAAAAAAAAAATTACAGGAAACTGGGTGGTTTAAAGAATAGACATCTACAAGGGGTCTTCAACAAGTTCATGGAAAATACATATTATGAAAAACACTGCATAGATTTAAAAAAAATTTTGTGCACCAAAACAAACTCATAATAACTTGCTATAACATGAGTGAACAGGATGTAGTTTGAGGCACTAAGAAGGATAAGACATCAGTTTGAAGCAAGCCCTTATCAGAGCTAAAGGAATTCTGCTAAAATTGAAGCAAGAACAAACAACAAATTTATGGTGAAGCTTGGGTGGAAGAATGGTGAAATCACTGATGCTTTATGAAAAGTTTATGGAGACAATGTCCCAAAGAAATGAGCAGCTTACAAATGGACAACTCATTTTAAGAAGGGACAAGGCAGGCCGGGCGCGGTGGCTCATGCCTGTAATCCCACCACTTCGGGAGGCCAAGGCAGGTGGATCACTTGAGGACAAGAGTTCAAGACCGACCTGGCCAACATGGAGACACCTCATCTCTACTAAAAATACAAAAATTAGCTGGGCATGGTGGTGTGTGCCTATAATCTCAGCAATTTGGGAGGCTGAGACAGGAGAATCGCTTGAACCCAGGAGGCGGAGGATGCAGTGAGCTGAGATCATGCCACTGCACTCCAGCCTGGGTGACAGAGCAAGACTCTGACTCCAAAAAAAAAAAAGACATTTTTTTGACAAACAAAAACACTTAAATATAGGTTAGGTGTTTAGTGTACCACCATGGGTGCAGGACCACAATGGACTCAGCACATGCTTAGTCTTCAGGGTCTGATACGAGCCCCCAGCCTTCAGGAACCAACTGTTCATTCTCCTTGGAACTCTGCAGGTCCTAGTTGGTACCATGCAGCCGAGTTTGGCATTCCTGCCTTTCAGCACAAGCATGTGCCTGCACACTTAAAGCAGACATATATATATGTGTGTGTGTATATATATATATCTCCGCCTCCCAGGTTCAAGCAGTTCTCCTGTTTCAGCCACCCAAATAGCTGGGATTACAGGTGTGCGCCACCACACCCAGCTAATTTTTGTAATTTTAGTAGAGACAGGGTTTTACCATGCTGGCCAGGCTGGTCTCAAACTCTTGACTTCAGGTGATCTGCCCGCCTTGGCCCATCAAAGTGCTGGGATTAAAGGCGTGAGCCACCCACCCGGCCTTAAAACAGAGGTTCTTTCCCTCTAGGAGCAAGGCCATAACAAAGCAGGGGGCGGGGGATGCATTCCTGCCCAACAAGTTGGCATCAGACAAAATCATGGGTAAAGACCAATGCTAAGTTGTAAAGCAAATCTCTATAACCACTGAAAACAGTAAAATTATGTTCCAAGACATAGTGTTAGAGAATTTCAGGGCTCAAAGAAAGACCAGATATTATTTATTTATTATTATTATTATTTGGAGATGGAGTTTCGCTCTGTCGCCCAGGCTGGAATGCAGTGGCATGATCTCGGCTCACTGGAAGCTCCGCCTCCTGGGTTCATGCCATTCTCCTGCCTCAGCCTCCTAAGTAGCTGGGTCTACAGGCGCCCGCCACCACGCCCAGCTAATTTTTTTGTATTTTTAGTAGAAACGGGATTTCACTGTGTTAGCCAGGATGGAGAAAGACCAGATATTATTAAATCCAGCCATTTCCAAGCCTAGGGTTGTGTGCACATTCTACAGGGTGGCCTTGTCTTTCTGCAAATATTTTGTTAAAACCTCAGAAATTGTGAATTTGCCTTATTAAGACAAAAATGAATTTTTTTTCCCTTTCGGCTGAAATTTTTTCTCTTTAGGTAGCTAATACTCTTATGTTTTTCTGAATCTGATCAGCAGTTTTCAATTTTTTATTTCTTATTTCTTTCTTTTTTTTTTTTTTTTTGCCCTTCTGTAGACAGTGACTTAAGTAGTTTTCTATTTTGACTAGAAAATGTGAGTAAGTCGGCCGGGCACAGTGACTCACGCCTGTAATCCCAGCACTTTGAGAGGCTGAGGTGAGCGGAACACTTGAGTTCAGAAGTTTGAAATCAGCCTGGCCAACATGGTGAAATTCTGTCTCTACTAAAAATACAAAAAAATTAGCCGTGCCTGGTGGGCACCTATAATCCCAGCTACTCGGGAGGCTGAGGCAGAAGAATCACTTGAACCCGGGAGGTGGAGGTTGCAGTGAACTGAAATCGTGCCACTGCACTCCAGCTTGGAGGACAAAAGGAGACTCTACTGAAAAAAAAAAAAAAAAAAAAAGTGTAAGTCAATTTCTATTAAGTAAAAATCTTTTAAAATATGGGATCCATAAGAGAAAAAAAGAAGTTAGCAAACGGTTCCATGATAGAGCCAAGATTGGGAACCATTGATTTCATCCAACTGCCCCACGTCTCTATGTGGTCATGGAGGAAACGGAGGGGAGATGGTCATACAGAATTGGTGGGAGAGCTAGGATGGAAACTCAGACTCATGCTTCAGACCAACACTTCCGCCTCTCATAACCCTTATGCCCTGACATTCTGGTAGAGTACGGCCTCACTGGGCCATAAAGTTGACCCAGAGAACCCGCACCTACAGTACAGAACTACTGTGTGGGTGATGCTGGCCTGCCCCAACAACTATACCTAAGGACACATGTTAAGTCCCTTAATTTCGCTTTAGGAGGACTGATGACAATATTGTTAAGTAAAATTTAGTAATTTGTTTTTTAATTTTTATTTTACTTTACTTTGAGATAGGGTGTCACTCTGTTGCCCAGGCTGGAGTACATACAGCAGGCTAGAGTGCAGTGGTGTGATCATAGCTTACTGCAGCCTTGAACTCCTGGCTCAAGTAATCCTCCCACCTCAGCCTCCTGAGTAGCAGGACTACAGGCACATGCCACCATGCCAAGCCTGTTTTTAAAATTTGTTTATTTATTTATTGAGATGGAGTCTCGCTCTGTCTCCCACAGCAATGGCATGATCTTGGCTCACTGCAACCTCCGCCTCCTGGGCTCAAGCAATTCTCCTGCCTCAGCTTCCCCAATAACTGGGATTACAAGCATGCACCACCTCTCCTGGCTAATTTTTGTAATTTTAGTAGAGACAGGGTTTCGCCTTATTGCCCGGGCTGGTCTCAAACTGCTGAGCTCAAAGTGATCCGCCTGCCTTGGCCTCCCAAAGTGTTAGAATTACAGGCGTGAGCCACTGCGCCTGGCCTAATTTTATATTTTTAGAGACAGGGTCATGCTCTGTTGCCAGGCTGCAGAGCAGTGATGCAATCATAGCTTACTACAACCTTGAACTCCTGGGCTCAAGCAA